ACAATGTATCTATGTTACATAGTGTGAGATCCGAAAACGTGATCGATATCACGTGTCGTAAATCCCGAATGTCAGATATGTCAGATATATTTGATATATCTGATATATCTGATATATCGCCTATATCGCATAAGTGTGATATATGCGATATATATGATAAATTAGATATATTCGATATACTAGACAAGTCCATAATGTAAATAGACAAGACAGTTTATTATAAATAAAGGGCAATTCACCCAGACAAAGGGGAGCGATTCCAATTGCGAAACATAAACTACCTACCCGACCCATAATTAAAGTGAAAGTGTTGTCCCATAAAGCCCAGTAACCATCGCTACCACTACCCCCCCCGAAGAACAACTAAACCCGTAATTGAGCGCTCGCCATAGTCACGTGCCCGGTAAACCGAAACGAAAAAGAAGAGCTCCAACCCCGATTCGACGTAGTGAAATCCCGGTTGAGACAAATAAAGAAGAGAAGAATTAGTAAAAGAGTAGGTTGAAGGAAAGACTCAAGAGAAGAGACCAGTACTTACCTACGGACGATAATCCACTCGCCAAATCTAACACGCCTGTTTCGACTTAGCCGCCGTAGGTAACACGAGAGTTGGAATAGTTTAGCGACAGACTCGCCGAAATCCGAGACGACAATAGATAATTTAGGTGATACACATTGTCGTGTCACAGTGCTGATGGTTATGACGTCATGAATTTCCTGTATATTTTGGTAATGCGCTAGTTAATTATTTTTGTCTTTTTGCTTTGCTGTGCTCGACTCAAGGGAGTCCAGCTTTATCGATATCCCCCCCTTCCCCCCCACGGGGTTGAGCTGTGTTTTGTATCTAGGTTTCTCCTTTTTACAGCCTGGCCTGACCGGCCGAATGTATTAAATTTAGTTTGTAGCTCGACCTTACGGGCCGAATGCAACTGTTTGAGCATGTTACTCAGTTAAACGTTAGTTATTATAGCCTAAGCTGGGTTTGTAAGTTGCTATGCTTTTAACACTGATATAATTAATCATCTAACATTAATTAAGGCACGATTCTAGGAAAAAGCTGTGAGGCACGTGATGGCAAGGCACCGACCCGTAATTGTATAGTCGTTTAACAAACTTTCATTCCGTACTAACCCTGTCTACAAGTGAATGACAAAAAAGGTACTACATGTGAAGTTCCTGAAATCATCCAATAAAATGCAGGATTTCGTATTAATTCGCATTATAACTACCCTCTGTGATATTTACATACATGTCACTCTGTTCCTGATACACTTTGTGAAATTTTCAATATCAATCCGTTCCTTGTATTATCCAGCTATCCACAAAGACGAAAGATGCTATGGGCACCTAATTTTAAAAATAGGATTTTGTTCGGAGAAAATTTCAAGTTATATAACTTTTTTTTAAAGGCATACTAGAAAGGTTGTTTATGGATATTTGTCGCCTTTATTATCTTCATTATCAATGTTAATACATACCATATTCTTCCGCAAACCTTTTATATTAATGAGTTATCGACAATCAGACACTTTGACTAGCGCTGGTGTCTACAGATACTGCATACGCATAAATAGTACTTTTGTGTTAGATAACAAATGCTTGGTCTCATGTACAAAATCCGTCTACGATTCATCTAGAAAAGACCTGAAAAAAAGTTTAGCACAATGGAAAATTTAGAATTAACAACTCCATCATTTTACCAACTACATGTGATATTGAAAATAATTCGCCATCCATCAATATAGGTTCAAGTGAACTGAAAGTGAATTACGTATATGGTGCAAGCACTCTAAAGACATCTAAAATTGTTATTTCTCAATGAATAAGTGCAAATTTGTCAAACAAATATGTAACTTTATAGTTACGGTAAAGGTTTACAAAGTTACGTATTTTTTTTTGCAAATTTGTGCTTATTTAGTGAGGAATAACAATTTGAAAAAAATTCTTGAAACATCGCCACATTAATGATCAGCAAGATTTCTAACAATTAATACGTATTATGTACTTAACGTAATCTGATTTTATTATGCGCTACAATAAATGAGGCGAAGCAATAACAAGTGGCGCAAATATGATGTGACTAGAGTGCTCGCACCATACAGGTAAGACAAAAATGCAGTGTTGGCCGAAGACCTAAGTCACATCATTTTAGTTATATGACCGTGGTGATTATGGATATTCATTTTGTTCTAGAAACGGTAAGCCGTATGGTCTAACATACTGCATACTACTAGTGATATTATTGGATGTTATTTAAATTTCATAAACAAGATGGTGTTTTATGAAATTAACTTGGGTAATTAACACATAAAAATTCTATATTTCAAAGCAGATTAGATAAAAATTTAACATTTATAATATATTTGAAGAAATTGCGTGCTATCTGCTTGACAATTTAAAAGGTATATTGTATTCTTGTGTTGGATTTGGATCACAAGGTAGGTCTGTAGGAGCGAATTTTGGCCGTGAAATGTTCAAATATTCTGGTAAATTTGTCAAAGGGTTCCATAAATTTAGCTTAAAAATTTAAGTTTTTAATTGAATTTTTACAGTAAATTATGATTGACTCAGACGATAATGCCAATACAATCTAGCATAACTTCTGTATGTCACAACAATAGTAAGTAAGTTTAATTGAATTTTTACACTAAATTACGACAGATATTAATAATAATGCCAATACGAACTATCAAAACTTTAACCATATACTGTATGTCACCGCAATAGCGAGTAAGCTTTTTTAAATGAATTTTTTACGGCAAATTACGATAGACGTTAACAATAATGCCAATACAAACCAACATAACTTTAACTACATACTGTGCCAATACATACGAACATAACTTTTACTGCTCATTGTGTGTCAATGCAATAGTCGGTAAGCTTTTAAATAAATATTTTTTTACAGTAAATTACAATGACATAAACGATAATGGCAATGGGAATTAACATAATTTTAACTACATACTATGTGTCACCGCACTAGCAAATAAGTCCTGTAACTAGGGAAGGTAAAAAAAACATTTTTTGCCATTTTAAAACATACGATGATAATGATCTGAATACTTTTAAATTTAGACTCAGCATATTCAAACCATAAACATTACACGTTTTAAAACAATGAAAAATGTTTTTTTACCATTCCTACCTGTAACTAAAAATTTTCATATTAAATGATAATTTTCAATAAGAATAATAAAATAGCCTTAATTTTATGTTAACCCTTGATAGACGGTATATATTGGTTAATATTAAATTGTAACTCTTAATATATTATTATATATATTATTATTTAAATTTTAAGTTTTAAAAGGATTTTCACCATTGGACAAGTGGCAATAATTATATTGATAAATTTTTAAACAAACTCAACTTGATTGAAATAAATTTAAAACCATTATTTAATGGATATCTTTTAATAAATTTACTAATATCAAGTATCTTGCTAAAGGAGGCTTTGGCACGATTTTTAAGGCAGTCTTGCCTGATGTATACGTTGATGAATTTGATAAGAACAAAAATAAATGGATAAGACAATAGAAAATAAATGTCTGTTTAAAAAGGCTTGAAAAATTTAAAAATATAAAGCAAGAATTTTTAAAAGAAATATAAATCATAGAATTTATTTATTATTATTTTCGTTATTATTTTTAAGTTTAATTTATTTTAACTATTATTTTAGGTCGAAAATCAGTATAAACGTGAGCAAATCAGAAATCCAAATTTATGACATAATCAAGAATCAAAATGATCATAATTATATGATGGTTATGGAATATTCAAAATAAGGAAGCCTCCGAAAATTATTAGACAGAAAATATAAGGATCTAAAATGGCATCATAAAATAATTATTTTATATTACATAGCTGATAGGCTTAATACAATCCACAAAGCCAAATTATTGCATAAAGATTTTCATTCCGGGAATATAGTTAAAAGAGATTTAGTTAATTCTTATATTACCGATTTTGGCTTATGCAGGGCACTTTCACAGCAATCAAACTCTGAAAGAATTTTTGTATGCTTCCATCTATTGCTCCGGTGATGTTGCGTATAAAAGAATATACTCAAAAAACAGATATTTATTCTTTTAGAATTAACATACCAGAAGTTTTTACAGGAAATCCTCCATATTATGATATTTCACATGATACTAAGCTAGAGTTAAATCTGCAAAGGTAAAAGACCTGAAATCAGATGCAAAGTTCTACAACTACTTTTGGATTTGATGAATAAATGCTTAGATGCTGAACCCCAAAATGACCAACCGCTGAAGAATTAGCTAATACGTTGGGCCAATTTTATGATGATGCGGTAATGAAGAGACCGAATTATGTAAGCAAGTTAAAGAAATTAAGTTTTCTAGTCAAAATTCCAATCAAGTCATATCATATCGACACGACTTAACTACCAGACACATAAACAAGCTACTTATACAGGCCAGCTTTGAAATTTATAATTGATTTTTTTTTCAATTTGCAATTGTTTTTTTAAAATAAATATATTAAAAAATAGACGCTATTCTTGCAATGTACGTGCTGTGTATATCGATGTCTTATGTAACATTTATATAAACATCCATTTAGTATATATTCATTTCGCCGACTCTTAATTTGCCGACACCTATTTCATCGACGGTCATTTCACTGGTAGCTCACTTCTCTGACAACGTATTTCACCGACAGTCCGTTTTCCCGACAGCCTACTTCCCAGACTTCACTTCACCGACAATCTATTTCTCCGACAGTTCATTTCGTCGACAATTCTGGCCCGATTTTGGGTTAGGGTTGACCCGCTTTATAGTCAGTAATGGCTAGAGAAATAGAAAGTCTGTAAAATAGAATTTCGGTGAAATGAACTGTCGGGAAAATGGGTTGTTGGGGAAGTGGCTGTCGAGGAAATGGACTGTCAGCGAAATGAGTTGGCTGTCGGTGAAATAGCCGTCAGTGAAACAGGTATCGGCGAATTAGGTGTCGGTGAAATCTACCAAAACCCATACATGTTTGACGGTCGTACTGCAAAGTGCATTTTTTCTGGATTTGGTAGAGTTTGCCGACACCTATTTCAGGACAATTTCAACATCAGTTCACTTCTCTGACAACACATTTCGCCGACAGTCAATTTCCTCAACAGCTACTCACCGATTTTACTTTCCCGACAGCCCATTTTATTTCGCCAACAATTAGATTTTGCAGACTTTCTATTTCACGATTTACATCTAGCCATTACTAACTATAAAGTGGTGAAATAGGTATCAGTAAATTTGTACGTCGGAATAGAATTATTGTGAATTTTGAATCCATATGTGATTCCAAATAAATATAGGTTGTAGCAAGATTCCAGGAATTCCAATTCAACTTACAGTAAAGTTAAGTGTATTCCAAGTTATTTCATCGTCATGATGTTTTAGAATTTAAGTCATTTTTTCATTGAGTATTTTAAGATAGGTTTATTCATAATGCAGCGTATTGAAATTAATTACATAAAATTTACATCTACGATTTATCCCAAATAATCCTTTCATTTGTTTTACAATTACAATGATTTTGTCACACAGTCTTTAATGTTAACTACTTGTGAAGAAGATTGTATAATAGTCACTTCTCAAACGCTTTTGAGCGTTGAAGGAATACTAAAAACTTATCAAGGCCCAACGGATACAATTCATTAGCATTATACGTAATTCCAATAATACCTGATTTTAATCCAACTATATATATCAATTAGGAACTTACAGAAGAGCGTCATTTGTTGCTAAGATACTTAGAAAGCAATTCTTTGAATGCATTGAGATATAAATGGATAATCTTGAAATTTTTTATCAAGTAGAGTATTGCAAAGAACGAAAAATGAAATAAGCGTATCAATTTATCGTAATGATCACACATTTATTGCAGCATCGAATTTAAAATCAACTTATATTGCTATCAAATTATCGATTTTTTAAACTATTAAATTTAGAATCAACTATAGTCACTTTTAAATTTCGTATCAATGTTGTAAGTGGAATCTAGAATTTCCAAGTTAAATTAGGGTTAAAATCAACCCATAATGTTAGTTCTCTATCAAAATTCCGAATCTGCCTGGAAAGTTTCAAGAACACGAAACCCGGTGATCATCACATCACATGATCAAACACTCGGCCTAAGTTAAGGTTAGTGTTAGGGTTAGGTGATATTTTAGTTTAGACGGCCGATTATTAGTGCTGGTAAACAAATGACGTCATTGCATGATTTCACGTGATGTGATGATCACTGGGTTTCGTGTTCTTGAAGGTCACATCTGCCTAAATTCCGTTTCAGCTTACAACATATATATTTTGATAGCAAAGAATGATTTTTAAATATCTAGAGTAAATGAATCTCTTTACTTTATTAGAATAAATCTATCCTTAAATATGTTTATATCTCTAAGTATGAAATAGAATCGTTGTAAAGAATCAATTTGAAATTTAGATAATAATAACATTGAAGAATTTTCAATGTAACATTGTTTAAATGCTAAAATAATTGAAAAAGTAAAACAATTAACTCTAGACACCTAAAAACCTGCGAATTATTAATAAAATATATGTAAAAAATTTCAAGTTTACTAAAATGCACCTATGGTGCTGAACACCGTAAGTGCTATTTCTCAAAAACATACTAAGTAAATGGGATCGGGTACTCTAAGTAAAAATGTTTAGAACCCATGAAAAACTCACGAGAACTGAAATCGGGACCTTATATATAATCTACATTATAATATATAAAACTCTCCTTTATTCTAAAACTGCACCCTAATCCTAAATTTTATTAATAAAATTTTGTATGGTGTTCAACACCATAGGTGCATTTTATAATTTTTGAAAAATTTAATCACCCTAAATTTAAAAAGCAATTAATTTAAATATGCCTGAATCTCTAACTAGATTAAGAATTGTATGGTATAATATTTATTATATTGTAATATTCATTATACAATATAACTGTATAATTCTTGATCCTGACTTAATGTTACATAACCGAAACCATATACTACAAATTCTCGAGGTACCAAAACTCATCATTATGACAATATCATTATTGATATATTAACCTGTTTAAATAGATCAGCTTAAACAATTCTATTCATTACTGTATTAGAAGCCTAAACTAACAATTACAAAACTTTAACATTTAATAATAATAATCATAAAACTGTTTATTATAGTGTGATGGATCTCCTTTAGTTTAGGTAAGCATATATAAATTATTGCAAGAATATAATATATAAAACCTATCTAATTTGAGCCAAGTATTTGTTATCAGTTATGTTGTAGACAATAACTAATTATCATTGGGATATAATGCAGAGCACAGACTGTAAAGTGGCACATGCTCTGTGTTATATCTTGATAATAATTAGATTTATCATCTGCAATTTAACTGATAACTCAGTTATCTGATGCTTTTGATGCAAGCACAAACCTTTTTCACATAAATATGACCACTTTCTAATCATAATCATAATTTCACTCACTTTTTCATTACATTTTTTTTTTATTCATTGTTTTTTTAAAAAACAAACTTTTTTCAACAAAGTATGAATTTCAACCAAGCCTTACAACTCCCAATGCAAGATAATATCAATCAATTGCAAAATGCTTCATTTGTAACAAATATAGAAAGAAATATAATATAGTAGTTTAGATCATTGGATCGATTTAATAAAAGTTGTGGCAAAACTCAAACCATAGAACTTATTGATAGTATTGAAGAACTTAAAAATTACCTGTGTCAATTTATTACTTGGCTGAAAAAAGAAGATGGTTCAGATTATAAAGTTGAGTCTATTTATAGTTACCTAAAAGAGCATAGTGTTCTTCAATTAATAAAACTTTGGAATCATTACAAATTTTCTTGTACTCTTCATACACTTGATGGTAAAATGAATATTCTACAAAGCAAAGAATTAAGTGATCCAAAAAAGTCTGACAGTTTGTCTTTGGAAGAAATTGAGCAAATACTTAACTATCTATATATGAACATCAATTCTAATAAATCACTATGCCATCATGTCTTTTTTTGGTTATGTTTACCATGTGGCCTGCGAGGTGGTGATGCATATCAAATTAATAGGCAAGATCTTCAGTACTATTATAATGATGAATTAGAACTTATATTAAATAAAGAAAAAAATAACCATAAAGGCATTTTTTATCGAAATAAACATAAAAAAACAGGATCTTAGCATATTTTTATACCTCCTGATTTATTTAATAATAGTTATACTCCAGTTAGAAATATTTTTTTCTATTTATCTAAATTATCTAATTCATCATCTTCACAAAATCCATTGTTTCATAATACTTGTAAAAACAAAAAAGGTAAAAATTTATTGTTGTATATGTATAATTGTTTAATTTTTAACAATAATAATTTTTTATATATGTATTACTATATTAGATTTAAGAAAAGGCTTCTGGTATAAAAGTAGTCAAATGGGTTATACAAAACTTAGAAAAATAATGAATAATATTGTATTAAATATTGACATCAATCTTGATAATGATCAGTTAATTACTAATTACTTTTGTCATTGTACAGCAATCCAGCTATTAAAAAATAATAGAGTATCTGAATCAGAACTTCAGGCATTCTCTGGTCATTGTTTACAAGAAAGTTTGGCAGATTATTGTCAAACTAGCGATAGCTGACATTTGATAAATACTGCAATATTTATTTCTTATTCATTTTAAAAATTAGACTTGGATGAGTATAAATTCAATAATGCATATATTGGTTCTTTGAATGAAGAATTAGATGACTATAATCGTAAATAACTGAGAATTAGAAAATTTTTTTTATTATATTTAATAAGAATTTAAATGCTAATTTAGAAATTCAATCACAAATTCCATCCATCTCTAATATTTAAAAAATTCAAGCACCAGAATCATCTAACATGTTTATTCAGAAAGTTTCAGATGTGATACAAGAAATTCAAGCTTCAGAATTGTCTAACATGTTAATTCAGAAAAGTTCAAATATAATACAAGAAATTTAATCAACTGTCCTATCTTCAAATAATGCTATTGCAACATCTGATCTCAAAACCAAAAAAATTCATAAATGTATATTAAATTTATTGACAATTTTTTTTAAATATGTAATTTATTAATTAAAACTTTTATATTTTCATATATATATATATATTTAAATATAGTTCAAGTTTCAAAAATACCTAAGTTAAAACCCCACACCAAAACAGTTTTATATTTTAGATTATCAGTAATGGCACCATTTAAACCACCCTGTCATCCTAATTCTCTATTGTATACATCTTATAAAAAACATAAAAAACTATTGTCAAATATTAATAATAATATTATTCAGCTTCCTTTAGGTACTTCTAGTACTTTTTAGAATTATGAACTAAAAATAAATTTGAAAATAAATTAGATTTCATTTAATGTATTTTCAAATTACTTAATAAATTAAAATGTACTTAGCTTAAAAATTTATTGAATTTATTTATTATTCAAATATAAAATATTGAAAATTTGTATATTTTCAATTGTAAGTGAGTAAAAATTTGTATATCAGTGATTATAAAGTGACAAATAATGTATATAAAAAATGTCAAATGCTTACATAGGAAGTGTTAGATAATTTATATTATGACTCTAATCCTTACCTTAACTATTTATAAATTTACTTAAATTAATTTAAGATAGTTAATTATATCTATTATAATTGAAAAAAATACCAATTCTGTAACACTCTCTATAGATCACTTGTACCAAATTTTTGCTAAAAACATTTAATTATTTCTTAATATTATATTAAGTAAACCTTACTTGTACTTCTAAGTAAAGTTGCACAGCTCATTTTTCTCTTTCTAGGTGGCCAAGTTTTATGCTATTGCAACATTTGGCCATTGAGAAAAGTTCTAAAAACCAAGATATTAGTTTTTGCTTATTTTCAATATATTTTACTAATTAAATATACCTTGTTACCTATTAGAAAAAGAACAAGCACTCTGTTTCAGTCATTTTGATATATATTATACTGCAAATATACTAAAATTTACTAAGATATTTGAAAAAAGGTGAAGTCAAAATCTGTCTTTGCAAGTTATTTCATTAGTAAATTTAGAAAATTCACTAGGTTGTCTCAAAATTTTCACTTTGCAGGCACCCATTAAAATTTTCTAAACATCCAATTAGCCTTAATACAGGTCCCACATCTTTCAGATCCTTTCTAACTTATCTGCAAAGCACTTAAATTAGAAGATTTTATCTGATAATTAGATTATTCGATTTGATTTGAAGATTATTTTATACTAGTACAAACACTACATTAGGATAATTACACAAAATGCCTAACATCATTACTGTCAAACCAGACTTCTTCAATCTAGATACTCTTTAAAATAAATATAATGCCTGAACACTAGTTAATTTAGACAAAAACTGTAAAAGTTTTAAAGTTCTTATATTCAATTTTAATCCTACACTATGTAACACTTACAATGGCTATCATTTCTTTTTCAGCCCTACTCAACCTATTATCACTAAATGTTTTTGTAAAAAATACCACACATACTTCACTTTATAGCATTTATTTTTGTCATCTATTCCTGATTCTACCTCTACAACTATAATTGAACCATCCAACTCAATGGGAATTGACCTCGATGCCAAACTCTATAAATCCTTTAACAATGTATCTAAGTCATTCTTTTAACATAAACACAATATCATTCATTCATTTTCCAATTGTACAGTAAAATTAAACAAGATACCAATAATCAAATTTCTTTTCTTGCTTTCTCTTATCATACATATATATATATTATTTGCAAAACCAAAGATATATTATATATTATACTAACTGATAATAAGCACTCATTAGACCCAAAAGCACTTATATTCAAAACTGAAATAGGTGGCTTTCCAGCTCACTTTCAATGCATCTATAAACTTAAACTAAAGCTAGCCAAATTCACAAGCCCTATAAACTGAGAATAATGTAGTCTTTATTGCAAAATCAAATGCCTACAATTATCAGCAGAAGATAAGCATATCTTTTTTAAAAAATTTTTGAACAAACTTTTCAAAAAAGTTAAAAATACAAACAACCAATTAGACAATAACTCTAATGCAAAAGAACTTTCAAATAACAACAAACAGAAAGAGGCCAATAATAAACAATCTAATCAAAAATCAAAAACATAAAAATGTGATATCTTAAAAGATTTTGACTAGTTCAAAAATTATCCTGTTATACCTATTATGTAGCAATATAATAAACTTAACACATCACCAGCTTTATAACTATTTACTCTCTTGAAATCCAATTTTAGAGACTTTATTCCTAGACAAATCATCCCAAACAAATCTGATAAAAATAAAAATAGCAACAGACCACCTACTAAATACTTCTTCAACTATATTTTTAACAAAATGACAAGCAAAAAACCTAAGTTCTTGTTAGATTTTATTGTCAACTTAAGTCCTAACTTTGATAAATCAAAACCAATTTACTTTAAAGCTTTCTATAATATATGCAAAGGCCTATTCTTCAAATTTACAAAGGTATTTTTTACTCAACTGGGCTATTTACATATTCTTTAATCACATTATTTTATCTCACCTTACTCAAATACTAACAGATGTAGAGTGGCTATAAACTTAGCCTGTCTACACCTTTATCAAAACCATAAATATAAAACCATCAACTTTGAAGAATTTATAAAAAAAACTTGATATTAAACTATTATGATTTACACTTCACTTTGATATTAAATACAGATCAAAGCAACTTGAATTTACTATCCAAAATGATAACTGATTCAACATTAATATTTCTCTTAACATTCCATCTAAAAAATTCCTAAAAGATTTTAGAATTTCATCACTCAAGCCTCATCTTACAGCTTATGAGGCCTGGTTTAAATTTTTTTTAAAAAATATAGCATTCAGTTTGACAAAATTGATCAACAGAAAACAAACAATGCTAATATCACAAAAACTAACTGAAGAATACAAAAACTTTTGCCAAAAACATACCTTCTATCAGATTCAATACATACTCTTAAAAAGCACTCCAAAGCAACTTTCAAAGCAGCACTCCATCATATTCACCTCTGTACTAACAAAGACTGTAATCTATTAGCCAAATCAACAGAACACAACTTAGAAAACATTTTTAAATTCTATTTCACTAGCTTATTCAAAACTCACCTAGTACCAGAATCAGAACAAAAAGAATAGATTTATACAATATTAGAAACCAATGCCTTTTATCTCAAACAAAAACTTGCAGCAAGCTTTTCTATATCAACACCTATATAAGAACTCAGAGTCTTAGCTATATCTACTGAAAAGTTATTTGCAAATCTTAACAAAGTAGCAAGTAATACTGCTTGATCTACATATTACTTCTATTACTATTTAAAAGCCTTTATATTAGCAGCAAGAGACAATGACAGACTTGTAGGTTTATCTAAAAAAGAAGTTCTAGAAAAAATAATCCAAACAACTAATGACATCTATACTCTTGCAAGAGTCATTACATATTTTAAATTAGAAATGGAATTTAAAATATTACTAAAACAAATACATATTAATTATAATCAATTCTATTATTCAGAAGCTAAAGATTTTCTGATAAAACACCTTAAAATCTTAATCTCAGAACAATATGAGGATTCTCTTTTTATACAGAATCCTGATACATTAAATTCCTAAAAAGTAGATAAGAATATGTTTACACCCCCAGAAGAAACTACAAAAACAACTAAAAATACTATTCTTACCTTACAAGAGGAAAGTACAAACTCTTTTTTTCAATAACATCTTCTACAGAATACATTAATGCAGCTGCTATCTCTAAGATTATGATGTCTTCCACATCTAGTGGGCCATCTTTAAAGGAGAATAATAACAATAAGCAGACAGTAAAGCCTACTGTAAGCAAATCTGTAAAAGACATTATATATAATGCCTCTGATACCAATACTCCAACTCTCTCAGAGACAAACACCTGCTATAATAAGTTTTTAAAATGATACTATTTACTCTTACTACTATAACCTATAACACTTAATAACTTAATCAAGCACTTATGAAAAACCTTTTCTTCGATCTAATCAAAATTTTAGTTAATAATGAAAAAACAGAACCACATGTTTATATCAAAGTTACAGATTCTACTATTTCAAATTACATAGCTATAAATCCTATTCAATACAAATCATATAAACACTTAACTATCCTAACATCTCTAAACCAAATAATACCAAATCCCAACAACTAGTATTCCTTAAACTCCAACACACCTAGAACACAGTCTTACAATAATCAACTTTACTTATTAATCAGTACACATAATGTTCAAAGAATTAATAAAGACCTAAAACAACAAGTATAAAAAGACTACTGCTTTTCAATAATCTTAGCATTATTAGCATAACAGAAACCAAAATTATAACTAGTAACCCAATTACTAAATTACAAAAATCCAAACACTTTACATATTTGTGATCATGCACTGAAGGCTCTAAAGCAGGTACAGCTATTATGATCCACAAGTCTATAAAAACCCACATCTACAAAATACTCTCTTTTTCAGAATATGCCATTACAGTAAACATCTTCTTTAAACATAACTTTAAATTTAGAATCATTTCAGTTTATTTACTGTGTGATAATATTTAACTAAGACTGTCAGTACAAAATACTGTAATACAATAGCTTCAACAAGCCTATACATCAAATATTCAACCAATTATCTTAGGAGACTTTAATGCTTCTGATAGTACTACCTACTCCTCCTCAATAAAATACAAGTTGCTTCATTTTCTTCAATACAACAAGATGTATAACCTGGCCACATATACCTACAACTCAACATCTATATGGCAAAGCAACAGATATTAGAGTAATATAGACTACATCTGGGCCAATCAACCTCTTCTTCAATATCTTAATTCTTTTACTATAGATGATTCTGACACTAGTACCCAGAGTGATCATAAAATTCTGAACTTTCATTAAGTCT